GGGGTGCTCATCAGGATCTGAGGGAACGTCTGTTCACCAGAGCACCCAAAGGGATGACAAGGTCAAACAGTCACAAACTCCACCATGACTGTTTCAGGCTGGACATAAGGAAGAACTTTGTTACTGTCTGAGCCCCCAAGGTTTGGAATAGATTGCCGCCGGAGGTGGTTCAAGCACCTACTTTGAATGCCTTCAAGAGAAATTTGGATGTTTATCTTGCTGGGATCCTATGATCCCTGCTGACTTCCTGTCCCTGGGGCAGGGGGCTGGACTCAATGATCTTCCAAGGTCCCTTCCAGCCCTAATGTCTATGAATCTATCATTATAAGTCTAGCAGTGTTTCTGGAACAGGTTGTATAGGAGGACATAAAAAGGCACTGGAAATCAGAAATCTATTCTGAACTCTATCTTAATTATTTGTGTAAGCCATTTTAACTTTATTCGATGTTGGTTTTATGTGCTGGTAAGTTTTCTATACCTACTTCACTGGATTCTGAAACGCTTAATTAATTTAAGATTTAACTTCAAGTACATTTTAAAATTAAGCTTGATTAATCCACTGTTTGGTTTATACAGATATCAGAAATGTTCAGATTTCCTGGCTCCTCTTGCTGCATGTAGTACACAGTGCCCAAATAGTATATGGAAATCCCAGAGCATGCACTTCAGTTCTCTGGTACAGCTCCTGTTTGAGCTTGTGTGGGCACGTCTTCTCTAACATTTCATTGAAGTGTACAATGGCAGTACGTAACATGAGTGCAGCTACTGGTGAGCATATGTTTGAGGTTGGTCCCCTTCTGTCTGATCCACACAGGGATTGCCTACACGTGCACTTTACTGTTCATTAGACTAATGTGCAGTAGGGCTGTGCGAAACAGCACCATTTCATTTCAATGGGACAGTGTTTCGTTTCAAGTTTTGTTTCGTTTTGAAGCACTGTTCTGTTTCATTTCGTCGAAACTTTTGCTGTTTCGACACTTGACATTTCACTCATAGGCTATAATGGGGAAGCACAAAACTGCCTATAACTTTGTCATTTTTTGGCAGATTTGAATGAAAACAGCAGAGAAGCTAGACGCTTCTGAGGGCATGAAATTTGGCAGGCTTCAAGGAGATAGGTATAGGGGTTTCTGGGAAACTGCACCTCAAGCTGCTGACAAGCAAAACTTGTGACGTGTGACTTTGTGTGTGTTAAGGCTCACCCTCTCTGGTGCTGGGGCCTCTATACAACAAAGAAGTGTGGCCCAGTGAGGCCTTCTCCACCCCTACAGCCTCAGCCTGGTCCACCACTTTAAATGACAACAGGTAATAACTTAGTAAGCAGCACAGGAGCACCAACAGCATCTCCAGGCAGCCAAACAGTCACAGTCAATATCAGAGCAGTCCTTCCCCCTCTCTCTCTTTACTTTAGTTTCTGTTTCCCTGCAGGCAAGCCCAGCTTCAGCTTTGAAACTTGAAATGTTATGAAACTTTCAAAATGTGTTGACTGCCCTCATTTTGTTTCAAGGCTGTTTCGAAGCCTTTCATTTCATTTTGTTTTGATTTCACTGTTTCAAGCTTGAAATGAGTTGAAACAGCATTGAAACAAAACAACCGACAAAATTTCGCTCAGCCCTAATGTGCACTAAAGCATCACTGTTTACATGTGTGCAGTGAATACTGCTCAGCAGATTAATTTAAAGCGCCATTTACTAGCACTGATAGATACAGGCGCTAGATAATGACATTTTAAACTAATGTGCTAAAGCACATACATAGACTCTGACTGGGAGCAGTCTGCTCCTGGTCAGCCCAGGCAGCAGGGGGCCACAACTTCTGCCTGGCTAAGCCCCGAGCTTCAGGGGGCGGGCAGGGAGCTGTCGCAGCAGCTTCCATCTGTCCAGGGGCAGCTCCCGGCTGTACAGTGCTCAGAGTTAGCCCCAAGCTATGGGGGTGGGGGGCAGCGTTCTCTCTAAGCTGTATGGCGTGTGCAGTCACACAGGCAAGCTCATGCTGCACTGCCAGGTGCACCTGCGCAGCTGTGCATGCCATATAGCTTAGAGGGAACGCTGGGTGGGGGGAGTTGTTACAGCAGGTCCTAGTTGTCTGGGGGCAGTTTCCAACCCCCCAGAGCCCACACAGGTGGGAGCTGCTATAACAACTCTCCCCTCACCCTTCAGAGCCCAGGCCTGAGCTCTGTACCCTCTGCCAGCCTGGGGCTGCCCCTGGAGCCCCTTGCCAGCCAGGAGCTGACACCCGGGGGATCCTGGAGCTCCCCCTGGCTGCTGCAGGGGGTCAGAGGAGGGCAGGAGCAGCCCTGGACTAGGCTGCTCCTGTCAGGCTTAATTTGCTCCTGACCTGGGCACATGTCTAGATGTGCACCCAGGAGCAGTTTAATGCACCTGAATTTACTGTGCAGTAAATTTTGGCACATCAGTTGTACATGTAGATGTGCCCACAGTATATAAGTGAGAGTTTCAGTTCAGTCCTTGGTGTGTTGACTAAGATGGTGGTAGCCCTGAGCACACAGATTTTTGAGAGGATATCTCATAGCAAGGACTTGGGGAAGGGGAAATACTGATTCTGAGCAAAATATTTGTGCAAACATTTAGTGGAAATAAAAAGCGCCAGTTTTCTAAAGGTGGAAAGTAAGACAGGAAAGACTGGAGAGATTTCCACAAGTCTTGGAGTCAAGAGGCCTAGGTGCTAATCCTGGTTCTAATACTGACCTTGGATATATGACCTAAAGCAGTGGTGGCCAGCATTTTTGGTAGGTGTACTATATATAAATTAAGCCCTGCCTCCACCCTGAGTGCGGCTCTCATCCCTGACACCCAAAGGCACACCTGATGGAGTTTGCCCTTGGGGCACCGGAATGAAAGCAAGGGATGCTGCTGCAAGGTGAGGTGTCACTGTCAAGCACCAGGTTAACCCTTGCCTGGCCCCGCAACCTCCACTCTTTTATATGGCAAGTGAGATTCCAGAGCCCTTAATTCAGCGGCAGCTTCAGGGCCAGGCAAGGGTTAACCTGGCTCTTGGCAGTGACACCTAGCACCTCCTCTTGCAGCAGTATCCTGCTTCCATAACTGGAGGTCGAACTCCCTATCTAAACCCAATGGGCACCTTCCTTTACTGAGCTCCTGGGGCTTGCATGCCATGCCCAACAGCTACCTGTGCCACTTGTAGCATATACCATGGGTGGGCCAACCCTAACCTACAGTCTCTGAGCTGGAGTTTCCATCCAACAATAGCTTTTGACAATTAAAGGATCCCTTTCTTGAAGTACTCACCTACAAATGACATCTGCTTTTATAGTGATCTTACAACACATGGCAAAACTTAATGAAATGTCCAAATCCATCACACACATGTGGACTTATTAATGCAATAGTAAAAGACAGTAAGGTCTGTATTATAAATAGTACAGTATGTTTGTTCTAACAGTAAATGCTCAGGCAGCTAAAAGAGACAATTTCAGATGGCTTTACTGGAATAAGCTCGTGTATATTTAACAGCCCTGTTTATATGTAGTCCTCCAATGTACAGAACTGACAGCAGCCCACTCTGGCTGTCGCGCAGATGAACATGTCAGCATTTCCTAACATATTGAACATAAATATGCATGTGTGTTTCTTCTGTTTTTAGGGGGCGATGCTAAATTGCTGGTGATGCTCTGCATCTCCCCCTGCCAGAAATATTTAGCGGAATCACTGCAATCTTTGGGATTTGGAACGCGAGCTCGGCAAGTTCAGAGAGGACAAGTCAAGAAAAGAAATCTACTGGTGTCAAGTAAATCCAAATAAAACCAAGACTCTTGTGGATTAAAGTATTATTAATGAGTTCCTCAGCCTGAAATGTATCTTGTTGTCATAAAGCCATGCTTTTAGATTTAAACTGCCAGATAAAATAAATGCTCTTCAGTATAGTATTAGCAAGCCATAAACTTGCTGGTAATGTTCTGGTTCCAGAGATAACAAAAAGTATTGACAACAGCTACCAAGCATGATGGATGGCATAGCACAAAAATACATCATGTTTTAGTGGAGCAACATCAAAACATAGTTTTAGGGCAGATGTTTAGATTTGGCAAATAAGTCGAACTAAGTCAACAGAGGACTGATTCCAGACAGTTCACATTGGAAGAGCTGCGCCTGCATCTTGTTATTTCAGTTAAAGATACAAGTTTTCTATTACTCTGCTTCATTTCAATATATTTTGTTTGATCTGTCAGCACGTCATCCTGCTGATGTGCTCATCTCTTTTGCCCCAAACATTCCTAATTTGTAATTTGTAACTAACTTGCTAACTGAACTGAAGGATTTTCTCTCTCAATTAAATATATAACTAGGGCATCAGTAAGTTGGACCAAAGGGAAAAGAATAAGATACTATTTTTCTGTTGGGAAAACTCATCTTGATATTTTGGCAGAAGGGAACACCTGAGTGTCAAACCCAGAAGCGAGGGACAGATTGCCCAACTTTTAAAATTTGTGTTTCACTTTAAAGAGCAGGAGTGAAATTCAGGTCCCATTTGAAGTCATAGGAATAGGATTTTACCCAATTTTTAAAAAATCAGATTTTTCAGTTTGCTGTTGCCCACTGATGCAGAAGATGTGCTTGGGAGATGTAGGTGACCAGTTATGAGCTGGACCTCTACCTGTCCTGGCTGATAAAAGCTAGCCACGGGATACTGGGGCCACTGCTGGCAAGGGGCTGTTGCAGGTTCTCTTTGGGAGGGTAAGGTGCTGAACATTATTGAGTCTGTAATAGTGTGGCTCCTACTCAAAAAATCATTGCTTGCTGCTAACTGTTCAGTTAATTATCAGCCTGTCTCCAACCTCCCCTTTGTAGAGAAGGTCATTGAATGGGTGGCTGCCTGATAGCTCCAGGCGCATGTGGATGCCACTGGATTCCCGGACGCTTGTTAGTCTGGCTTTTGTCCTGAATATAGTGCAACGACTGCACTCATAGCCTTGGTTGACCATCTTTTTCTGGAGAGTAACATGGGAAACTACCCTGCTGATCTTACTAGATTTTTCAGGAGCTTTTGATGCAGTTGACCATGATATGCTGATAAAGTAAGGGTGGGCAAAATATGGCCCACGGGCCAGATCCAGGCTGCCAAGGGACTTTATCTAGCCTGTGGCAGGTCCCTTGGCCCCTCCTGGCCCAGGCACAGGGGGCAGGCTGGACTGTGGCATGTACAGCCAGTCCCACCACTCCTGGGTGCACAGTGGGCCTGGATCAGCATGCTAGCCAGACTCCACTTCCCAGCAGCCACTGCTGTCAGACCCAGTCCCACTGCCTGGGCACCCCAGCCCATCTGCCCCACACCCACTGCTGTGGGTGCCAGACAAAGCAGGCAGGCAGGCATGATCTTCATGGGGACCAGCCCAGGACCCCCATGGGCAAGGTGTGTTTGGCTGGGCAGATGAGATGAGCCAAACCTGGGCAGGGAGCAGTATCTGGGAGTGGGCTGGTGACAGCATAGGGCCATGTGGGGAGCAGATCATGGCTTTGCCCCAGGATCCTGCCCTGCGCTATCACTAACCCACAATCCCAACCCTGCCTGCCCATCCCACTCCAAGGCACCATTTCCCACCCACCCGCAGCCCCATATCATCCACCCAGCCAACTTCATCCTGCTCCAGGGGCTCAGAGCTGGTCTCCATGAAGACCCCACTTGTCTGCCTGCCCACCTGGTCCATCCAGTGCCCCTGGACAAGTCTAGTAATCTACCACTTAGGGAGCTTTGATGAGCTAGTGGGGGGGTGCTGACCTGGCCTGCAGTAACTCACAAAAACTCCCTAAGTGGCCCTCCAGCCCGAACAATTGTTTACACCCATGGTAAAGTATTCACATGATCTGGTAGGACCCTTTTAAATTGCTTCTGATATTTCCTAGCAGGTAGATCTCAGACAATAGTGATGGACAAGTGCTCATCTTTTTTTTTAGGACCTTTCTTGTGGAGTCCCCCCAGAGCTCTATCTTGTTGCTTCCTATTCAATGCGTATATGAGGCCAGTGGGTGAGATTGTGCAAAGATGTGAAGTGAGGTTTCATAGATTCATAGAAGTAGGGTCAGCAGGGACCTTGTAGATCATCAGGTCTGAACCCCTGCCCTGGGCAGGAGAGAAAACCGGGCTCAAATGACTTCAGCCAGGTAGATGTCAAGCCTCCTCTTAAAGACCCCCAGGGTAGGAGCCAGCACCCCCTCCCTTGGAAGATGGTTCCAGATCCTAGCCGCCCTGACTGTGAAGTAGTGCCTTTGGCCGCCTAGTCTAAACCTACTCTCTAACAACTTGTGGCAGTTATTGCTTGTTTCCCTGGGGGGCGCTAGTGGGAACAAGGTCTCTCCCAAACCCTGCTGGTCCCCCCTAGTGAGTTTATAGACGGCCACTAGGTCCCCCCCTCAGCCTTCTCTTGCAAAGGCTGAACAGGTTAAGGTCCCATAGCCTCTCTTCATAGGGTCTGCCCTGTTGTCCCCGGATCATGCGGGTGGCCCTCCTCTGGACCCTCCCAAAGCTGTCCACATCTCTCCTGAAGTGCAGCGCCCAGAACTGAACACAGTTCTCCAGCTGTGGCCTGACCAGTGCGCATAGAGGGGGAGGATCACCTCCTTGGTCCTGCTTGAGATGCACCTGTGGATGCACGA